TGGCCTTACTACTAGGAGCAAGGACGCTACTAGGGGCTCCTGGCCTTGCTACTAGAAACAAGAAGTTACTAGTAGAAATCCTTCGTCCTTTGCGTCCGGTCTCCACCCGGTGAACTCCGAGGAGCCGGCCCGCTTCAGGGAAGGTGGAGCTGAAGGAGGAGCCGGCCGAGCTTCAGGGGCAGCGAGCTTTGGGCCACCGGGCGAACCCCAAATCACCCAAATCAGGGGGAGAGATGGGACACGTGGTGACCCATGTTGCGAACCTTCCGAAGCGATGTCCGGTGTCGTGCTCCATCAGACGAGACCCTTTTTGCTTGAGGTTTGGGGTCGTTTTGGCCATGGGCTATGACTAACTCATACACCGGGAAGACCATCTAGATGGGTCAAATCCATGTGCTGCTCGGTCCGGTGAAAAATACCTCGCCTCATACTCACAAGCTCAGACAAGCTCAGACTAGATCTAGTTTGGCATTTGTTTCAGTCATGTTAGAGTAGTGGAGGACCATGCCCCATCCCATATGGGATAAGATATATAATATATATATTCACCCCCCAATAAATCCCACAAGGGTAAGCGTGTGGCATGGTCCTCCACTACTCTTACACCTTCCACCATCTGGGGATCACTTCGCTTCACTGAGCTGCGAGGAGGCTCTTCGTAGCCGGGGCCCACAGAGGAGGTCGCACTGACTCCACACTGAACCGCCCCGTGCTGACAACGTTCTGAGAGGCTACTGCTGGTCGACTGCTCAAATGTGGGGCTCCCATGTCCACAGTGAAAGATCGACTTGCAACAACTTGTTTAAGCAATCTACTGGGGACGCTACTAGGGGCTCCTGGCATCGCTACTAGGAGTAGGGGCTCCTGGCCTTGCTACTACGGACGCTACTAGGGGCTCCTGGCATCGTTACTAGGAGCATGGACGCTACTAGGGGCTCCTGGCCTGGCTACTAGGAGCAAGGGCGCTACTAGGGGCTCCTGGCATCGTTACTAGGAGCATGGACGCTACTAGGGGCTCCTGGCCTGGCTACTAGGAGCAAGGGCGCTACTAGGGGCTCCTGGCATCGCTACTAGGAGCATGGACGCTACTAGGGGCTCCTGGCCTTACTACTAGGAGCAAGGACGCTACTAGGGGCTCCCGGCCTTACTACGCTACTAGGAGCAAAGGGTTGGCATACAAATTCAGTGCTTTGATTGACCCGCAGGCTCCACGTCTGTGGCATTCACCTTCTTTTCTGCCTTAAATATGTTCCAGAATACACGTGTGTCTCAACAAAGCAGTCCTCAATTGGCCAGAAACCAGTGTTTGGACTTGGGGATGTTTGTTTGACTCCTGCCAGATGTATGTGGCTCTGAATGTTTAGAGAACAAGTGCCAACCAGGGGTAGTAATGCTGTTATTGCCCCATGGTGTCGGTTTTCTTCGAAAGTTTACGCTTGAATGTCATGAACATGGCGACTTATTGCATCGCATTGAATCTGAATAGGGTTTGTCAAGGTTTGTCATTGCCTGGTGCCAAGCTCTTTCCAAACGGGCGACCTCAATGGGTGGCACCGTTCTCAGGTCGCCCGACCACGGGTCGCCCACCCACCGGGGGCTAGGGCCCCAGGAGGGGGGGGGCGCCAGGTGCTCACTCGAACTTGGACACGCTCTTCATAGATTCATGGGATTTAAATGGATTTAAAGGCTTCGAGGTGTTGACTTTGCCACGGTTATAAATGTCGCAGCGCGAGGAGTCAGATCGAGAAGCTGAAAATGAAAGAGAACAAGCCCTGGCAACGGGTAGCTGCGATGTCCACCATGAAACAGAAGGGATGATCCGTGGCAGTCTACTCACGTCCACCCTGAAGAACTAGTTCCCCAGCATTCTTTGAGAGTTTGATGTCTCTTGAATGTTTACTAGGAGCAAAGGGTATCGCTACTAGGAGCAAGGACGCTACTAGGGGCTCCTGGCATCGCTACTAGGAGCATTCTTGCTCTAGTAACAAGAAGCTACTAGGGGCCCCTGGCAAACGCATGCAAATCTGCCTTGTACGACTCGCTCCCAACCTGAGGAGAGGCAGAGCTGGATGACCTCTGGGTGCGCCTGGGGGAATTCCACAGCGGGAAGCCACCACCTGTGGTGAAGCTACTTGAAACAGTCCAGATTCGTAGCACAGGGAGGTAGACATGCCTGATTTGGGAGGGTTATCTGGACCAATCAGAGCCAACAGTTGCAAGTCAGTTGAGACTCACTTGCATTATCTTGCCTTCTGAAGAAATAAATCTGGTGCCAAGCCGTTTCCCCAAGCAGCTAGTTCCTGAGGGCCCTGGAGTGGAAGCTCGACATGATTCTACCGAGTTCGGTAGCTGACCCCAGAGACTGAGAAGAAGCCACACGTGTTGATAGCAGCTTTCCTCTCTGGAAATTTTGGAGAATGACAGGATATGCCTGGGAAGATAGGGCTCCCCAATAGCGGCCATCCCTCTCATGCTGCGAAGCAGAAAACTCGTTCTTTGTGTGGCTAAGCAAAAGATGCAAAACAAGCGAACAGCAAAAAGGGTCAACCAAGAGTTCCAAAAGCAGCGCATTGCAGGCACTGCAAATGCGATTTTCAATGATTTTCATCTGTGCTCATTGATGGCTGCGGTGCAAATCAAGCGAACCAAGACATGCGTCCAACCACAACCACAACCGAAACTCACATGAACAGCAAATCCATCACACTTTGGTTGCCAGGATTCCCTCTCGATCTTCTCCTTGAGGGACCACGTGAGCAACCTGCTTCAGCAGTAGCCCGGCCGGCTGGATGGGGGGCTCCATGGATTTTCCGACTTTTAGCACATGTGGATTGGGGAGTCCATTGCATTACACCTCCCATCATCACCTCCAACCACTTTAGCCTGATATGCTGCCCTGCTTTCTGGGCTATTGCCTGGTGACACGGTTAACCGATATGATCAGATGTGATGTGAATCTTTCTCTTCATCCGGAAATTGATGCAGGAATCCCCAGTCAAGGGATGTTGCCCGCAAGCCGACAAGGATGGACAAGTCGGCTTTGTCCCTGGGCTTGTCAGATTTTGTCTATGTATATGATTTAAATAGGTATAGGCAATCTGATAAACTGGCTTGTATGTGACGACTACAGTTGGGGTTCAGCCCTATGACCATACCACAGAGTCCAATGTCGGAACCCAAAGTCCTCGGAAAGAGCCCCCCTAGAACCTCCCATGTCAATCTACCACGAAATCGAAACTTCTGATCACCAGAAGTACTTGCTCCACCACAAAAACCTGAAGATCCATCCAAGACCACAATAGTGAGGAAGAGTTCGTGTTCCTTCCATCACGCTGAGGCCTTTGCCCACGCGTGGTGAAGGCATCAAGGATTATGCCAGCCAGAGCAGTGTTGGGCCTTTGCCTGTGCGCCGGGGGAATTTTCGCGGCGGCTGATGCGACTGACTGGAGTTGTTCCGGGGTTTTGCATGTTTTTTCCATGAGCAATCAACGGCAAACAGGACCAGTTCTTCTATTGCCGTGCCAGAAGGGCGAGCTTTGTTGTGAAGAGCCCCAAGAGCTCAGGGATTCTTGTGGGTGCAAATGTCAGTTTCATTTTGGAATGACACGAATAGAGCTTCTACCTTGCTTTCTTGTGCACACAATTCGTGGCATTGAATCCTATCTGGGAGATGCCCGTTTTCGCTACCACATACCAGACACACCTCCAACTTCTGCTAGCGGAGGTTCTTCTCACGAAGACTGACCAGACTCGGCTGAGCACACAGGGCAGGCTTTCCTTGCATGCCATTCTATGATCTTCCTGCAGGTTCAGCCAGGATTGGTACTCAAACAATCTGCACGAGGTCCTGCTGTCCATAATTACCTAGAAGTTGAGAGGGTGCCGGGTGCCCAAGAGAAACTCTAGACTTGTGCATCAAATAGATCGACCCCTCCAAAACCTAGTCCGCAGCTGCCCAATTCTTTTATTGTCAATTCCTTGTCGGCATGAACCAGCCTGTCGGATGGTGTGCTGACATCTAAGCAGAAAGTACTTGGAAGAGAAATGGGAGCAGAAACCATTGGGTTTCTGCTCAACCCATTAAAATGAATGCGATGTATTTGTTTGCCGGCCTGCTCCGCCGCTGCTTATCTCCGGTTCAAGCGTTTATTGAGTTTAGTGGCTATGCTTGGGCCCGACATAGAAGGTGGTGGTTCGACATTAAATTATGCCCCTAACTAACCTAGCCCCACGCTCAATCTCTGATGTGGGCTTTGCACACAGCATGTTCAAGCCCTGATTCCAACCAAAGGTCTTTTGGGTGGCACTAACTTCTAAGAAAGCGAGAGATCCCTTGATTCCGGCACAGACACTTCTCAGGGACCTAAGGTCTTCCAGAAGCAACGGACTAAGCAAATGAGATGACCGGACTTGGACAGTAGCCTGAATCCCCAGACCGCTGGATCACCCCACAGGACGGTTTGGATTTGTAACCCTTTAGGATTTGGGTCCCTTTGCAGTCCCCAGTGGCAGGGAGCCGTTTAGAGGTGAGGCCAGAATAGCTTGGTGCTCCCCCAGTGGAAGTGAAAGCCTCTCGAATCATCACGTTGGCAGACTGGCTTGAATTCATAACCTCCATTTCCACAGCTGACTGAGAACCACCTGCTGCAACAGAATCTAACAACATTTTGGTGCTTTTTTCCCGATTAAACTTTAGACTGTTCCGTTCCAGTATGCACACAAAGATGTACCGCCACTGTAGCATTGCTTTGGAGCCCGTGATCAGATTCGCACTCCGCTGGAACGGCGGTACCACCGTTTTTTCCATGGTCCATTTAGTCTTGGAACGACCGCGGGAGTCTGTTCTGCCGGTGCTCATTCAACATTGTGTCAGTTGGCCGCATGTGAGATGAACTACCACCATTGGTGGTTTTAAAGATCCGTGCCTCGTAGTTTACATCAACCATTGAGAACAACATTTATTTGCCACATTTCGGTTTGCCGGTCGCAGGCAGGAGTGCTTCGCCGATTGATGTAAACCTGACCGTCCTGACCATTGTTGAAGTAGCAATTTTGCACTCTGCCACAGCCAGACAAGAGTTTGGGGCCCATCACTTTTGCGCCGCATTTATAACATGTTTCTCAACAGAACAGGCTCAGGATGGCATGATGTGAGCAAGCCATGTTTCATCAAGACTTCAAATTGCATGTCCAAAACACACGTGAAGTGCGGGATGTGATTTGGAGAGGCTCTTGGAACAGGCCGCTCTGCAGGCTACTCCCCTGAAACCACAGGTATGGACACTGGACACTGGAACCCAAAACGATCTTTTTCCGAGAACTTTGGCGTCCCAAGAGGAACCCTGTTTGCGTTTGGTGTGTGACGTCCAACTGCTTTTGCACAATTCCCCAATCCTTTTCAGGTTAGCTCTTCACGGGATGAGAAGAAGACGAAGAAGGAATTCAGGCACATTCGACCCCAGCCGGTCGGCTTATTTCGCAGACGTTGAACGGTGCAGATTTCTGTTGGGGGGAACTAAAATCACATAAAAATGATCAGTGTTGGGGACTCTTGCTACAGCAATTCATATTTTGAGAGGGAGGTCTTAGACGCACATTTCACGACCATGCAAAACATACATGGCCATAGGAGCCACAAGATCTGGAGAATGCCCACAAGCCTATGGCCTGGCCAATATATGATAGTGACCAGTAGTTGCGAGAATTAGCATAGGCTCGATCTTGGGGCAGTATCCGCTGTTGGGACAGCTCATATCATATAGAATCTATCCCGCCATCTACATATATGAGTCAATAATAATTATACTGTACATATATGTATTATTGTATACATGTATCTCTCTCTCTCTATATATATATATTATATCAATGTTATTACTATTATTACCATCATTAGTATTATTAATAAGATATGGGTGGGAGCGTGACCTCCAGAGGCTCAAGGCTTTGACTTTAAAACTTTAAGGTCAAACAACGAAGGAGGAATAGGCTGAGAATATATTTTTGAAGGCACCGGCTGGTTCTTGCCGGGCCACAAGCTACCCATAGCCAGCTGAGATGCTTCGGGATAGCAGATGGACCTTCTCGTTGCTTCGCCCACACTTTGGAGGGCTCCAATCTGTTAATGTATTTGAGATGTCTCAATGTCTCGAGTTCATGTGGTCAGTCGCATCCTCAATCTTTTGGGCCTCCGAAGGAGCAGCGATCCACTCGAGGAACTTTTCCTTCCCTTGAGTCACTTGAATCCTTGGGAGGCGGTCTTTTGACTTCTTCCCTTGAGTGCAACCAGGTAGCACCAATTTAACCCAACCACCTGGAGAAAGACCCACTCAATCCCTTTGACCTAGATTTGCCAGGAAAAGCAGCTTTTGGAGCATTGCCTTTCCCATCTATTACGTACTACTCAGCTTCACCTGCAATGTGCTCTTCCTGGTGGGCTCCTTCCTGTTCTTGCCCATCAAAAGCCAGGAGGTGAGTCAAACATGCCGCTGCACCAGCTGGTGCTGGGATTGAGGGTGGCACCCGCCTCGGGAGCAACAACCGGCTAAAATCACGGTCCAGTGCAACCGGTTCTTGGAAGCGGCTCTCAGGGAAGTAAAGCGACGGTTCCTTTCCACCACTAGTTACTAGGCCTTCAGTTGGACCTGAAGTCTGGTTCATGCTGGTTCTGTGCCTCTGAAAGAGGACTTTTTCCACAACGAGCTTCACCTTCAGACCTGCGCGACCGCGGTCGGACCCAGCCGCACTTCCAACCTCGTGACCGCAGAAAAGCGCGGTGGGCGCCAGGCCAGTGTGAGCTTTACCTTCGTTGTGGAGAACATCGATGTAGACCAGGTGATGACCTCCAACAGCACTCTTTTCCAGCTCCCTGGTCTGTGATGAGATGGTGGCGAGGAGGGCAGGTTTTTGAGGTGAGATTCACATCCAAGACGTGGTTGAACACTTGATTTGGATGGATTCTTCTTCAGCTGTGAGACTCACTGGGCTGCTGGGCTTCAACAGCCGGTTGGACTCGCCTTAGCGATGCCAGGAGCCCCTAGTAGCGTCCTTGCTCCTAGTAGTAAGGCCAGGAGCCCCTAGTAGCTTCTTGCTATTAGGGGTGTCGTTATTTCAGGCCACAGAGACCATCTCAGGCAGCTGGAGACCAGCTTCACCGGTGCTTTAGCCTCTGACCGGCGGAACCGCATCAAGCCGCACCACACGCGACTGGACTGAGTGAAAGTGGGGGTGAGGATGGTGAGGATTCGTGAGGATTCAGGAATTGAGGAGCTCCACTGAACCGGGAAGGTCTTTGGACATCGAGATTTCCCACAAAAAGGACACTGGTCGATCTTCTTCAGTGAACCTGACCTTGTCTCAGTGAGGGACAACTTTGACAGGTTATTAAACATCATGAGCTCCGAGCACTTGGTGGTCGTTCTTGTAACCATGGGGTCAGAGGGCAATTCTGAGATTCGAAGCGCGCCGCTCGCGCGTCAGAGGCGTGGAAAGCGTGGAACGCGCCCGGAACACGACCCGCTCCGGCGAAACGACCGTGCGTCGACCGTTGTCGTGGACCCACCTTTGCCGGAACAGGCACTTCCAGTGGCGGAAGACCACCTCCTGCAGCCTGGACCAAGCGATGCTTTTCGATGTGAACATCTATCCACGGGATGGGCACCTCGGATTTTCCGCAGAGGGCTGCAGCTCCTGGATGCACCCAGGGTTGGGTGGAGGGCTGGCAACCACGGAGGTGTGTGTGGAATGGTGGGTAGTCAAGAGAAAGGGTGGGACATGGTCGTCCTGTGACATGTATGCCCATCAACTGCAGGTGTATTTTGCTTACCACTACCACTTACCTACTATTTGCCCTTTGTCTCCCTCCTGCAAAATTCTTTGAGAAGCTTCAAGGAGAGTGGGAGTGTGTCGGGGGTACCTTTCAGGCATGATGCTGTCCCAGCGAACATGACGTCTCGCCGCTGATGCACTCTGAAGTTTGATTTGGCCCAGGCTGCAGGATGAGTAGATGTACACAGTACAAGTGCTTGTTGTTTTATCAATTACAGCTACGGTACCAATTCCTCTAGCGTCGTCAAGCTCTGGTTGTTGGGTTCTCTCAAATTCCATGCGACCGACTCCCTCCCAAAAGAACCTCATCGTGAGCGTATGAGGCTTCTCTTCCCCTTAAAAACATGTGGGACTTTGGTCACATGTACCCATGTTTGCGGCCAAAATTCTGACCATCTCTCGTGTCAGGGTCTTTGAAGGGCCCTCCTTGTTCATATCGCTTTGCCGCATTTTTTCTCTTGTTGCAGCATTGATCACTCGAGGCACAACATCACCGCCTTGTGACTTGGTGGCGACTTTGCAAGGGGTTTGTCTGTCCGAGGAGTGGCTTCTTAAGTACAACCAGGCACTGGGCTGGCTGCGGTGTTCCGCATACACCAGAGTTGGCTTCACAAAGTCTTGTTGTGTCTACCGGCTGGAGTCAAGATCCCAACCCAGCTACAATGTTCTCGATGATTTCTCACCTGGGCTCACTGAACACCCAGAAAATCCGTCCATGACCTGAGGATCTAGGGCAACTGCCCAAACTCTTGAGACAAATCAACTTGTTGATCTGGAAAGGCCAAAATGAGAAGCTGTGAATACGTTCCAGCCCTTTGAAGGTCAAGAAGTCCGCATGTACAGGCGGAGCAGTGATAAGGGTAACCCAAGTACAACTTAATAGACTCAGAGTCAGAGAATCCTTGTATATTGCCGATACTTATATATATATACAGTATATAGACACAAAGGGACCCTGAAGACCAAAAGAGTACGAGAAAGAGAGGGTACCAAATCTACCAACCTGACAGTCAAGCTCGGAGTTCCATTTCCGTTGCAAGTTGGTTTTCCAGCCCAAGGCAAATGTCCATGCCCAGCGTGGCCTCTCTCTCGACGGCGCTGAACCAGTCCTTTTCTGCCAACACCATCGACGAGCTGGCGACGGGGGAGCCTCAGGCGCAAGTGAAAGAGGGTTGGTGTGGTTGGAGCCAATCGGTCTATATACATTCGCATCTATATACTAGTAACAAGAAGCTTCTAGCAACCATGGGCATTTCTACTACGAGCAAGGACGCTACTAGTCGCTCCTGGCATTACTACTAGGAGCAAGAAGCTATCTACAGTTTTCCGTTTTTTGCATTTGCTGCTACTTGCTGTTGCTGCAATCGTTGGGTGTTGGCTGTGGTTGGAGGTGCCGTGAGTAGTAGTAGTAGTAGTAGTAGTAGTAGTAGTAGTAGTAGTAGTAGTGAACCGTAAATAGTCGGAGTCGTTAGGAATAGGAGATTGGACAACTTGAAAAATCCTGCACGGTGTCCCTCAGTACACCGGCCGAACTTTCGGATGAATATGGAAGTGTGATGAGACTCTGAGCATGGGATTTGCAAATGAGACCAGTCTCTATCAAGAAGCAAGCCAATTTCATTATGTGTAGGAGATTTCAGGGGCTCTGACCAGGATGGCTTGGAGTAGCAGAGGACCAGAGAGTTGTTTGCCCCGAATCAAAGCTCTACATAACCTATCCGTCAAGAAGGCGACTTTATGCTTTGGCCAAGTTGCGTTTCCTCGAAACAGATCCCCATTCTTTGAACTGCGGGGCAAGCGATGAACTGAAACCCTCCGTCTCCATGCCTCGACACCCTCGCCAGGTGAATATCGTCACCCGGCCGCGGCTGATGAAGACGGCGGTGGTGCAGAAGTGGGCTGTGGACTTCGGGTGCACGCTCTTCATCATCGGCTCCGCGCTACTGGCAGCGATCAGCGCATTGGATTTGTTGGAGGATATGCTCACCTGCGGCAGCCTGGTGGAGATAGGCGTCGAAGGTTTGCGGGGCGAGGCTCGATCGTAAGGGGTCGATAGAGCAGGGCTTGTTGGTGTTCTCTTCAGGATGGAAGAGTTGGGTGATGAAAGGTGCATGGTGCAGCAGGTGTGCTGACTTGATCTGACTTGGTTGGACCCCACCTCGTACTTGATGGATCTACCACTTTGGCAACTGCTCCGTCTCCACCTGTCTTTTGACGTCCCCACTCCCTTCCGGTCGCCGACCGAAGCCGAAGCCGTTTCGTCCGCGCGCTTATCGCTTCGTCGTCCTTGTCTACTGGGTCGACCGAGGACTGAAGCTGCCAAGTCCCAAGACTTTGACGCAAGGCTATGAATTCGTGGCTTGGAAGCTTCATTCCATGCCCGTGACGCTTCGTGGGACCCCCCAAGCGTTTAGAAGGAAAACGAGGCGAGAGGGTTTCGAGAGGGTTTAGGCTTGACTTCGGCTCCTGCTGTTTTGGGAAGCTAAACTTAAAGTTCAAGACATTGAAGGCATCTCACAGATACCACTTGAGTTGTTGGACTGTAGACTCTGTAGACTGTAGACCCCACAAGCCTGCAGGGTCAGACAGGAGACTGGACGAAGCACCACGTTGATGTCAGGTCGGCAGCGAGCCGGAGGTGTCCTCTTCTGAAAGCCACGTTTTCGTCAGCGCGCGCTTGGAGCGGCTCATGTACCTGAGTGGGGGCTTGATCTTTTTGGTTGGGAGCCTTGCTTGAAAAGGAACTGAGATTGTCATCGTCGTGTATGACCAGAAAGTCCTTTTCTTGGGGAGAAGCTTCTCATTTGCTTGGCCTTTGGTTGTTAGTTTCATTTGACAGCCAAGCCTATGAATTCTTTTGGACCAAATCGGACCAAAGATCTTTGTTTCAGAAATACTTGGGACTTGGGCAGTCTGCCACCGGGTTCTTCAAAAAATACAACCATCCCATCACATGTCCAAACCTGGCAAACAACCCCCCTTGGACCCCATCCATGTTGGTGGTTTGAAGTTGGGGGTCTGGCGGGCGTGGAGAAGGCAAGAATGGTTTACTGTAAAGATCGATTGTGTTTTTTTGAAGAGTCCGGGGAAGGTTTGTTTATATCCGCTTGAATCTCTGTCACACGCATTGCAATGATAGAGCATGCTAAGGCCATCTAAGGCCCACCCATCTACAACCCACGTGATGAAACCACAAAGGTGGATGTCAAGGCCCACCCATTGGTCTGCAGCACAAAACAGTGAATATTAAGCCAGGCCTACAGATTGTTTGACAGTGATGTGTGCAAATAGACTGAAGTTGTGGGTACGAAGTACAGTGTCGTATACACTGAAGGCTTTGGTTTGAAGTGTGTTTGTTATATAGTTAGCCGTCTTCGCAAGTCTTGGTAAAAAGTTATGTGCACAACAGCCTGTCTGCATTACCAGTAACATGTATACACATCTCCTGTCACCTGTCTACTTCCCCTCCAATGTCACTGTTGAGAACTCACACGCCTGTCCCACTGTCCCACATTGCATTCCACGAGCACGCACGGTTTTCCAGGTTCTCCACCCAGAAGAGGTGTGGATTGTCCCTGCAAGCTTCATGACCGGACCACGCCATTTGCAGTCATTCCCGCCGCAAACGCAGGTTACAGAGTTCATTGTCAGTGTCCAAGCGCTTTCGGGAAGTTGACGTTTGGCATATTGTTGTTGAACAGAACATTGGGGGGCCCATGGTGGTGGACTTTTGCTTCCCAAATTGGGAAAGTCTCGAGGCCATTGGACGATTTCATCCCAAAGCAAGTCTCGACTGGAGGTCTTGCAGGATGAGTTGAAAAGAGCTGGCACTTGCCGAGGAGAGTGGGTGGTTGTGCTCACCGCATTCAGAAGAATGGCACCTCAGGGCAAGCTTGGCGTGGGGCCATGGCCAAAGCCTTGCTGGATGGACGGCTTTACAAGGGGAGTTTGGTTTGCCACGCTGGTGCACGTGGCCATGAAAGCGCTGAGAAGACTCGCTCGGCGTTGGATGAGTGGCGCTTCAACAATGAGGTCGTTTTGTACTCTCTCCAACTCCTCTGGCTTCAGGGGGCGCCTTTTATCACGTCCAGGTCTAAGAACCACACCTTCAATATTGCAAGCAGGACCCGGTCTTCATCACCACGCTGTTAACTGATCACGGCCTGCAGCAAGACGATCTTCAAGTTCACACAGCCAATCTCTCGTCCGAAGACAGTGGTCGCAGGTTGCGTGCCGTCCGCTTTGCGCCATTTCATGCAATTTCCCTTGTAAAACGGGCAACCCCTACTCCAAGTTGTCGCCTTCTTGCAGCAACTCTCGGCCACTTGGCGCACAAGTTTGGGGAGAATGGGGTGGATGGTAAAATGCTCTTGGCATAGTGTGCCCCACTCGAACTCCAAATGAACGGGAACAGTTAGAGTTAGAGTTCGACCTGGAAGCATAGAGTTCGAACCCGAATTCGAGCTCAAACTGGAACAGGTAGAGCTCAGCTATCCGAAACTGAACTTGAAGATCGAACTCGAACAAAAGGTATGCTACCTTGGAATGGCTCTTTTCTCTTCCAAAATTTTAGCCGCGGGCGGCTCGCAAAAGGTCTGGTACGAAGGAATCGCTCGTAAAGGCGTTGGAATGGCCCCTGCCATAAGCTTCAGGAGCCGTGGAAACAAAAGACGGCGCTTGTGGTGAAGGGGTGGTCGCTTGGCGTATGTGCAGCCCTTCAGCGACGAGGCACAACAGTCCGTGACAACGGTAGCCGGACGCGCAGCGGAAACTTGCCGGCGCTCATCCCGTGGCTCATGCTGTACGCAAAGAGCATCCACGATGATTTTGGGTTCCCAAGGCACGCTGTCTCCGGTTGGCACAGGTTGCTAGCTGACCAGTGCTAAGCCCAAGGGCCACTAGCTAGACTGACCTTTGTGACATGTGCAAGACAAGGCCGGTCCGAGTTCCTTCCGCAGTCTTTTCGCCTGTTTGGGCTTACTCTGTTTTTTTTTCGACTTCACACCTTGCCACCTCGCTCAACGTGGCATGAAACGTTATTGAAAGACGGGCTCTCAAAACATTAGTGTTAGCTTGCGTACTGCAAGCAGTGGTGGTTGGAGGAAAGCAAATGGTATATAGTATATCATTTGGAACTCAGGTGGGCGCACTTTATGATATCTATGCAACTGAGGACCTTCTACTTCCAACATCCGCAGATGGTCAGTTCAAGGCTGGCCAACCTTCTTTTCAAGGCGGTTGTGTTCCTTGGACCATGGGTTGGCCATTGGAAATGTAATGAGCGACCTGCTGCCCGGAAGTTTGGGGCGCTAGAAACACTAGAGTCCATATGTCAACAGGCAATTTCACACTTGTTTTCAGTTTCAACCTGCTTGGCGGAAGAGCCCCCAACCACAAAAAAGTCTTAAGGCTCACCTTTAACAGTGAATACAGAGGCTGCAAGGCAACCAAATTCGACCAGGGTAGGTTTGTTGGTCTCACGATATGTTGAGACGGACATGCCACACCGAAACCTTAAACCTCCTTGCTGCGTTTTTTGGCAAATCATACGTTGAGAAGTTGACAATGGGTTCGGAGTGGGAGGGATGACTGCACAACAAGATCTCAAGTTGCATGCAGGTCTACAACTGGTTACCGGGAAACCACTCTGGCAGATCGTTATTACTAGCTTCTTGTTCCTAGTAGTAAGGCCAGGAGCCCCTAGCAGCGTGCTCTTGTTCCCAGTAGCGATGCCAGGAGCCCTAGTAGCGTCCTTGTTTCTAGTAGTAAGGCCAGGAGCCCCTAGTAGCAACCTTGCTCCTAGTAGTAAGGCCAGGAGCCCCTAGTAGCGTCCTCTTGTTCCCAGTAGCGATGCCAGGAGCCCCCAGTAGCGTCCTCTTGTTCCTATATAGTAGTTTTGCAAACCAATTTCCCAAACAGAGCATCTTACCTATGAACCACACGTGTCCCGACATCTTCGAACGGGCATCTGTCCTTGTCGCCTGATCAGGGTGCCATCCGAAGTGATGCATGACGAAGACGTGTTGTTTATGGCTATTTGGATGTTCATCATTGGTTCCATTGTCTTCGTGTGCCTTGGACATGTTATGCGGAGAGTGACTGTAGACTGCGCACCCTCAGATCAAGTATCGAGTATCGTGATGGGATGCATGTGTGTGTAAATATGTAGAGGAGGCCGGCATTCATTTGCAAGATCCAAAGGTGTCTTCGGGTCAAATGGTAATCGTGTTTGGACCGGGGTGCAGCCACCCGGAGTGTGGGAGATGTGCTTGCCTCCCCCGAGCATCAATGTGATCCATTGTTAGAACTCACTACGTCACTACGTCGAATTTGTGCTTGACGTTCCTTGCGAAGCAGTAAAGGAACCAGTCGGTTCAGAGCAGATCCATAGACCTGTGGACAATTTTAGAGGTCATGAATACAATGTTGATCACTTTTTGTGTACTGTAGTCTGCTACGCTCATTGTCTTCAACTTCGAACTTCATACATACGATTCTCAATTCCCTCAGTTTCTTTGTATCCCCAACTGGCAAACCTGCGTGCTTCTCTCTTTGGTGAGCCGTCCCTTTTCCGATTTCGCACATGTCTTCCATACTGGCCTCACTGCCGCCCTGGTTCGACCGCCAGTTTCGCCACCTTCCTGAATGCCTTGTCGCTGAATGCGAGCGGCAAGACCTTCATCCACTGGGCCGTGGCCACCTGTGGGATCTACGAACTGGGCGGGATCTTGTTCGTCATGGGCTCGGTGTGCTTCATGCCCAACCAAGGCGCGGCTCTTGGATCGGAAAATGCTTGGAGAAATGAAACGATCCCGGTGGATTGAGAGCCAACAGTTGGTGCAGACCTGGTGGACTTGATATAAGAATTCATGGTTTTTGATGGTTTTTGTTCCTCTTCCTCCACGCATTTGAGTGGAGATATGTGGGGAAGGAGAGAGAGAGAGAGAGAGAGCACTGTCGGACTTTTAGGACGCGGCTTCTGCATAGAACATGGAACACATTCGAGAAGGACATCTCAAAATCTCACATGTGTTCCATGCACATCGGAAACATGTTCATCTCATTCTTTATGTGATACGGTGGTCCATACTTTACACTGTTTTCATAATTTTCTATGCATTTTGGGTCTGCCGACAAAGGCATTCCATGCACCTCACACCTCAGAACGATTACTGTACTAAAGTTGAGAACGACGATGTGATGTGTGAGTATGCAATTCATGGGTTTACATGGAATACCACCCATACCGCCTGCTTGTAGCTTCACAGGAGGTGATGATCCCATTCAGACACTTTACGCTAACATGAGTGCTTTTGGCCAAGACCCACGGTCAACTTCCCAGCCCATCAATACGGGCCAGGCTAGATGGAAGGGCAGTCAAACCAAAGGCACACTGATCTTCAAGTTCACGGAGGGGCCCACGGAGAGGTTTGGTCCTGTGAGCCTTTTATGTTACAGAATGATGCAAAAGATTGTTCTTTCTCAATCTCCACTCCAGGAGCATGGAAACGGGGTACATCCATCTCACTCCATCTCACTCCATCTCACTCCCCACTTGAAGAATCTGCGAAATGACATGAGGTTGCAAGGAAGGCATGGAAATCCTGGGTGCCTGGTGCTTCATTGTTGGTGCCGCCTGCTATATGCTTGGGGACTTCATCGAGTTTATGCAGCCTGCACAAGCTTACTGTAGGAGTTGCTGGTGTTTGTGGGGTGGTGGTCGTTGTTTTTGCGGTGGGCCCATGGACAGGCTTCGCCTCATGGGCCTGAGAAATCCGAATCTGATGTTCCAACCTTCCAAGAAGTCTCAAGAAAGGTGATCAATGTTTTCAAGATCATGTGTCTAGGTGAATTGAGGATGGACATTGCCCTACCTCCAAGCCTATTTGGAATGGCTGACAACATGGAAGCAACATGAAACAACAACTCCGACTTCCCAGAAAGAGGCCCACTGGTTTCCGCCGGTTTCTGGGAATGGTGAACCATGGTGAAGGCATGATAGCTGTGGGGTCTTTAAAACATCAGCATGACATGACTTAAATCGTATATATATATATATATGTGACTTATATGACATGGCTTTATGTGACTCACATGGCCAAGTTTGCCAAGGAAGACCTGCGCCTTGATCTTCGTGCGGCTCAAGCAGGAGGAGGCCGCCCGCTGCATCGAGCGGGCAATGCACCTTGACAGCGGCTTTGCCTCCCAGGTACCCAAAGGGGTACCGGGCCTGGCAGGGTGAGGGTTGGGTGGCTTTGGCCCCTCAAAATTGCCGTGGACATACAGAGTTTGGCCCCTAGTCCCTGATTGTGCCACAGGGCTTTCACCAGCTCACATATGGAGCAAAATGGAGGAAGAACTCACCACTGTCCACTCCCTACCGCCCGCGATGCCCCCTGAATTGCTGTAAATACTATGCTCTTCTCCAACTCAGGTGGTACCCACTACATATATTGTCAAAACCAAAGGTTCTGCATGTCGCATGTTCGCCGGATTGCATACAGCACATCCATTTGGCTTGAACGCCATCCATGCTCAAGAAGGGAGGGAGGGTGGCCATCAGTCGAGAGCCATACTACGTGGACGTAGTTCGGAGTGCAGGGCACTGTGAAAGGAAAAGGCGTGCTACGGAAGGGTGTGGGACACCAGGTACAGAAGCCAGGGAGCTTCCGGCTCTTTGAAGGAGAATTCATTTGGTTTCAAGGAAACCTGCATTTCATTACATTCGAGAGCTCACTATCCGGATCGACTCAACTGCCTTTCTCGGAATCCGGGGTGGATTCGAGATTGGTAGCGGAGCTACCTGGGCGATCGAAAAGGGAGATCCTCACCATACATTGTTGAGCAGTTGTGATCATGCCTGAAGCATCTGGTTCAGCTACATTGGAAGGATCCTCATCAGGTGGAAATCAGTTGGCAGCCCTGATCCCATCTTTTGACCCGGCAGTTGACAATGTTGAGCAGTGGTCGCGGAAGATCGAGCTCCTCACGAAAGTCTGGCCCGAAGAGAAACTGACAGAGCTTGCAACACGTATCGTTTTGAGTTGCAAGGGCTCCGCATTCGCAAAGCTCCTTTTGCAACAGAAGGAGCTTCTGGTTGGAACAGTTCAGAGCATTTCCAAGATCGTGGAGGTCGTTGGCGGCCAATTCGGCCAGGTGAACTTGGAACAGAAATTTGATATCGTGGAAAAGGCCCTATTCAGGTGTGCCCAGAAGCCTGACGAAAGTGCAGATTCATACATTGCACGGCCCGAAGTGGTGTGGACCGAGATGCTGACGAAGAAGATCAGCATGTCCGAGGTGCAAGCATATACAATACTCCGTGGCAGCAGACTCAGTATGGAAGATAAGAAGAGGGTTCTTGTTGAATCCGGAGCGGAAAAGGCTGGCAGCGAGCTCGAGATGAAGCGAGTCGCAGCAGCTATCCGGATGCTGGGGTCCAACTTCTTCCAGGAGTACACGTCCGGCAGAAAGGACAAGGCCCTCAAAACATACGATCACATGGCCTTCGGAGTAGATGAAGTTGATGAATATGGTGAAGAAGGCCAATGGGAAGACGACCCTATGGAAGAAGAGACCTTGGAAGCCATGGCTGCTGAGGATGATGACGCCTCAATGGTGCTCCAGTTTGAGAATGCCCTCCTGGATACAGCGCAGGAAGACAAAGAGTTGGCCACATTTTACGTGAGCTACCAAGACGCCCGTCGGCGCCTGCTGGAGAAATCCCGGTCTCGTGGTTTTTGGCCTCCTCGGAACTTCAAGGGGGGTGGAAAGAAAGGAAAAGGGAAAGGAGTGAAGGGTAAGTCCAAGAGTCTCGCCCATCGGATCGCCAATTCAGCATGCCGGCTTTGCGGCCAGACCGGCCACTGGAAGGCAGAATGTCCATCTCGGAAGAATTCCAGATCCGAGTCCCATCAGATTCCCGCCTCGTTCGTGCTCGACCTCGAATCATGCCTGAAGGACATCCTGGAAGTTCCCAGCGACACTTTGTCACGGGTAGAAACATTTTGTTTGACCACCCTTGGAATGTCCATCCATCAGTTCAGGGAGAAGTTTCGCGCCAAGTGTCGTCACATTGCCGCACTAAGGAGCCCTCATCAAGTGCCTAACAATGAGTTGACTCCGAAGCCACATGCCCGTGAGAGCGCGTCGGTCACAGAATGGTCAGCCGAGGAAGCAACGACGTGTTTTGCTTCGGAAGGTTCCGTGGGAGTTGTCGATTTGGGGGCATCCCAAACGGTCATAGGCAGCCAGCAAGTACCTGACATGTTAGCCAACCTTCCAAATCACATTCGAAAACAAGTAAAGAAAACGGCGTGTAATCTTGTTTTTCGATTTGGGAACCATCAAACACTGACCAGCAGAGTGGCCCTAATCTTACCAGTGCACAGGACTTGGATTCGGATAGCCATCGTCCCGGGCCGAACACCATTTTTGCTCTCCAACTCATTTTTGAGAACGATCCAAGCAGTCATTGACACTCAGGAAAACACTCTGTGGAGCAAATTGTTGGGTCGATATTTGGAAACCTCAAAGTCAACATCGAATCTCATGCTTCCAAGACACCGTGCAGGTACACGGATCTGACCAGGTCCATTCGATTCCACTTGAAAGCCCAGACCTGCAGCCTCCGAGTGCCGCTAAAACGTCTTTGAGGGAGACAGAACAGTGTCTCAAAAGTCAAATGCATGAAGAGTCCATGTTAAATAAGACCAACCACACCGATTCAGAAGAACCGAATGAGAGTCAACCGTCGGAGAACGTTCGTATCAGTCATCAGCCTTAATCCAATTCAACCAGCTTCCCAGCTCTCAAGATCTGACTCGCTCGTGTGATTTTGACATCCCAGACAATGTCCAGCCTCAGTCAGAAGCTCACAATGCTCCAGGACGACATCAAGAAGGAACAGAACCAGGAAGCCCTCGATCTGCTCGACAGCATGCCACTGAGCCGACTCAAGGCTCTACCCATCGAGTTTGGCAAAGCGAAAGTGGGCCAGTCGTTCGAGGAAGCCTTTCAGGATCAGGCATGGACCAAGTGGTTTGTCAAGACCTACGAAAACAGCACCAAGATGGAACATCGTCAGTTCCTTCGCTATGTGGCCCTCAAGGTGGAGGAGAATCCAAAAGTCAAGATGAGCCAGCCGGTGAAGAAGACTCCACCGTACCTGAGCTCTTCAGCTCAGGGTTCAGAACAAGCCACTATATGGCTCGACCAATGACATCAGATCCTTGGGACCCAGAGGAACACCAGCTTGAGGAGATTTTGGCCCATCAGGAAAGTCAAGATGCGCGCGTGAATCGAATCTCCGTCTCTCTCCTGGGGATGCTCCACTTCGAAGAAGTAGAAGCTGAGGACGTGGGAACCGTGGGAAAAGCTGCCGGCAAGACAGATGCGCCGTCCATGTCCTCCCTCAAGATGTGGACTCACCATCTTTGCCAAGACCAAGTCTTCAGAAAGTGAGCAACCTAAGAGGGGAATGCCAATCGACCAGTCTCCTATTGCCAAGAGTCGCCGATTAGCTGAAGTTTTGCCGGAAGCAGACCATCCTGCGGACAGCCCCGCCCCTGGTGCCATTCAGCCGATGATCGGCGAGAATCCTGGAGCTGCCGAGAAAGAAGAAGCTAGTGACTTTAGACGGATGGTAGATTTAGTCTCCGACAAGCATGGACCAAAATTCCTGTCCCTCAAACCAGGAGAGAAACTGGCTCATGAAAGTCCACAAAAAACATGGGACATCCGCAGGCTAACAAACTGAAGCTTTTCTGTCAGCAAATGGGCTGCTCATTGGAAATCATCGAGGCAATCGGGGAACTTAAGTGTT